ATATATACACACACACACACACACACACACACACTCCAGTCTGGTGAGAGACAATGTAATCAGTATGATGTTTATAATATAGCAAGATATTCATATTCAACTGGGGGCAATAACATTTAGATTTGAATTATTGTTTTTATTTTTCTTCTACCATTTTTGTTTGTTAATTTTCCTTATTTTTTTCTTGTTCAGTATGAAAATATTATAAGAATGCTATAGAATTATGAACGTCATCATATAAGCAACATTATACACTTTTTCAATAAAGCGTATTTTTTTAAATTAGATGTGGGTTGATTATGTTCTAATTTATCTAAGATAAATTAAACCATTAATAATAAGTACAGCAATTATCTAAAATAGTTATACTGAACAATGGTGACTCTAAATTGCCCGGAGGTGTGAATGCATGTGTGTGTGGTTGTTCGTCTGTTGTTCGTGTTGGCCCTGCGATGGACCAGCGACCTGTCCAGGGTGTACCCCGCCTTTTGCCTGAGCCTGGGATTGGCTCCACCACCCCCCGTGACCCCGTTTGGGACTAAGCAGTATAAAAATGAGATGCGGTATACAGAACAGATGGCTAATTGTTATAACCTGGATGCATGTCTTGGATGTTGAAATAGGCAGCTGGATACACTGTTGTAATTTGAGTTTTGGCCATTTTGGTACCCATTTGAACAACAGTGAAGTCCCCTGAATGCATTTAGGTTTGATTCATGTGGAAGTGTAAAGCCTCCTGTCTGAAGGAGGTTAATTTCTTCCTTTCTTGTCATTCCTTAGTTTCTCCACTAGATGCTCTCTTTGTTTTGGTTTCCACATACATCTGTAAATCAGGCTTACTGTGTACGTGATTTACAATTAGAAATGCTTGTTACATGTGTTCAGACTATTAACTCCCTTTGCTGACCATGTTGCTTGCATTTTGTCACATCATTTTCCTTTCTTGTTACAGCTGTATATTTTCTCCAGCCACATCACAGGTGAAATTATAAGGCTTTTGTCTGCTGTGAGAACATGAAATTTAGGTGACAGCCCTCTGCAATACACTTGCATATTTTGATTTGGTGTTTTCTTACAACAAAATAAATGTGAACAAACTGTGGTCTGATTGTGACAGCTCTCTGCATGATATTTAAAGCACTTTTTGGGAATACCACCATTATTATCAGATATTCTTGCTACCTGCTGTTTGAAAGAGTATGGGTAAATGGATCATGCTTAAATATAGCCAGTGTTAAATCAAAGGAACTTATAGATTAAAGTTACTGATTAAAGTAGTCATGTAACATAACCTTGTCATGTATACACACAGAGAGGTGCCCCACCTGCATATAAATATTATATATAAATGTCAGACTCTATATTGCTCTCTAGTGCAACTTTATTCATGCCGGGAACTTACTGATCTTAGTAAACCCAGAGAATCAAGTGTGAGGATCGACAATCCTTTAATGCACTAAAAGCAGCTGCCCGCTGTGTGATGGAGTC